ATCATTCGAATTCGGGTTAGGAATAGATTCGGGTCGGGTTTGGATAGATTAAATTTGTCATGAAAAAGAAAATTATATATCATAGTTTTATCGATTATCAAGAACGCATGAACGAGACTAGATTACAGATCAAAAATTGAATTAAATAGCAATTGGCAGATTCGAAACTCAATACAATCATCCATAATTTAATTAAAAAAAAATTGCATATTTCTTAGATTAGTTTAGAATAATCATAAAAATCAAATCTGTTTGTTTACATAATTCGAATTCCATACGAAATTAGTAAACTTGAATTGAATTTATTCTTTATGGGACGATAACTCTTAACTCATAAATTATATTACTTGTCAATACGGGTTTCACACGAACAACAATCTTGGTTATCCTTCATGAAGTATCCAATTCAAATGCAATTGCATCACTCAAATTTCTAAGAACTTCTTATGCATGTGTGTGAATCATGCCAACATGGTGTGTGCTATAACCAAGGGACGCAGAGTAGAGTGTGAAATTTGGATGTCAAAGGAAATATTTTTATGAAAAGTTAGGGCTGGAGGAGTGCATGATGAACAAAAATTGAGCCGACGGGTTTGACGATAAGATACAAGAAGTCGATGAGAGTTAATGGGTTACAAGAAGTTAATGAGAGTAAACGAAGGTAAAAATGATGGTTCTATATTTTTTTTTTTTTTTCATTTTCAAATTAATGGTAATGAGAGTAAACGAAGGTAAAAATGATGGATCTATATTTATTTTTTTTTTTCATTTTCAAATTAATGTCTTCTCACATTATATTTGAAATTTACTTTAAAATTTATAAATCTACTGAAAGCAATGGTAGCCTTGTAAAATGTTTCGATGAAAGTTTGCAAATGCATATTGGTAATGAAGTGTTTGACGTATGTGAGGAAGATTCACATGACATTTGCACACGACTCTTTGTAAGACATGGAAAAGGGAATCCTCCAATGTCAAGGATGAATCTAAAGAAATAAGTAGTCTATTTTTTCCTCTTTTAAGTTATAATTCTTTCATTAATGCACTATCTACTCCTTTTGATGCTAGCCATAAGAAAGTAAACAAAATCAAACATTGCATTGCTGACCTTTGATAAGTGTAATTCTTACAATTTTCTCTGGCTCCTAAATGAGGTTTTATGATATAATATCAAGCGTATTGATGTTGATTATCATTGATTTCAGTTTATTTTCGTTTTTAGGATTTACTCACCGAACAACCGGACATGAGTTGAATTGACAAAAAAAAAAAAAAAACTAGAAGAAGCTAATTTTGAATTAAAGGGGAAGGGTCGAGCTCCTAGATTTGATGAATTTGATGGCATAAAAGAGGAAATTCACCTTTTAAACTCTTTTTATTTTTTTTATTTCTTTTATATTTAACATATTGGATCTATTCCAATTCCAATCACCTATTGAATCCATCAGTGTTGGATTATTCCACAAAAAGACCGTTGTTGCGCTGTTAGATATGCAAGAGAAATCTCAGAAGCCAAATTTAATAAGGGAACAACTCACAAGTACCTATAAAAATTTATTAATTTCATACTTTCAAATATTTTTCATTCTCAAAATACCTTTTATTTTTATTTTTTTCAATTCTTACACAATAAATTTTGTAACATAATGTGTAACATTTTGTAAAATTATATTACATTGAGGTAAATTTTGTAAAATTGTACTTACACATTTCACGACCCATGTTTCCACCGCCATCGTCATCCTTACCACCATCACTTGTAACACACATTTTTCTGCATATTTTCTCCAGAATCATGGCTGCCACTACTTGTAGTATTTAGTGTCAAACCACCATTGCCGCCAACTCCTCCACATGTAACATTTATTCTTACACAACTATCACCGCCACCATCACTTCTAACATTTATTGTTACCCCTCCATTGTCGGAGCACCACCACGTCTAACATACTATGTTATATGTTCACTATAAATGTCTACACCACAAGTGTACCGGATGCGTACAAGTACTAATGTGGACTAAAGAGTTCGAGTTGTCGGTGCCACAAGTAATGATTATTTAATTACACAATAGCTAATCTAATTCTAATAAATAAAACACACAATAAGATTTGATTTTGGGTATAATAAAAATAACTTTAATTCCAACAAAAAATAAAAATATAAAAAAATAAATGGGGAAATCTAAAATTTGAAGGAACCGTGGAAGATTAAATGATTGGAATTCATGATTTCACTTAACTGTCGCTTAATTAATTTCTCAACAAACAAATTAATACATTAATCATTTAATATGTTAGACCCGATTTTCCAATTTTAACTAATTACCTCTCTAGAGTGAAATTAATTCTAATCGATTGGTTTACCTTCTATGTTGATTAAAAATCCAATTAATTGCATTAATTCTTTGTGAAAATAAGTCTAAGTCAATAGATCACCTGAGTAAAGAGTATACATCCATCTCCTAAAAAAACATAAAATATTTATTAATCAATCTAAAATGCATAATATTCTCTCAGAAATTGTACAAATCACTCAACACAGTCATTTAATTGCCAAATAAATGGAAGACGTTTAATACAATAGTAAATACATATAAAAATAAGTACTTTACTATTAAAGAGCAAATTAATATCGAAATTAATCAAACTAGATTAAGTTACAGTAATCATCCCAGCCTCAATGTATTTAACTCATTATAAATAAATAGCAAAAATGAGAAGAGTTAAAAATTACATTACGAGTTAGAGAAAATAATAAATAATATAGAAGACCATGAAGAACCCGTCTCTTGTTAGATTCTTGAAATGTAGAATGGCTTGGTCTTGATATTTTCCCAAAATCTCTTTACTTTTCTTCAAAATTCTCTCTTCATCCCTTGCCTCCTTTTGCCCTAGTTTTCGTAAGATGAAATGAAAAATGAATGAATGGTCCTTTTTCATCTGATCTTGGATTTAAAAACCCTTCAAATCGTGCCTAGGAAATTTCCTAAAATGCAACAACATAAATTTCCCTGAGATAACACCATGTGCATGAACAGAACCCATGCGTGCACATGGTTTAGCTTAGAGACATTTTGAGTAGAAATTCACTCATTTTCTCAATATTTAACTCGTTTTAGACATCTAATAAATCTGTCAAAATACACTTATCATTATACACAACCACCACCAGTGCCATCACCCCATGTTACACCCACCATCGCATTACCACAATAAAAGTCAACAACAAATTCGCCAATTACACAACCCACCACAAACAATCAAACCTAACACCGTTGCCACTACCACCATTGCCATGACACCACCACCACCTCTCTAAACCACCAAATCTACTCTACGAACCTTCATCACCTCCATCTACACCACCATGACTATGGGGCAATAGGCTCCATAACCGTATGCCATCCACAACCACCTCCCAAATAACAAAAAGGAAAATAGTACAAACAAATAACGACAAATTCAATTTTGTTTCAAATCTAAAATCAAGTTGAAAGAGGAGGTAGTGTCGATGCCATGTGATCTCAATGGTGGGAGATGGATGCGGTGTCATTGGTAGTGCACGGAGTGATGGTGGTGGCGCAAGACGGTGAAGGAAATCTGTTTTAGAGAGTGGTGGTAGTGTTGGTGGTCACTAATCGATGGTGGTGATGTTGGTGCTTTTTTTCATTTAAGGTTAATGTTTGAGTTTGTATGCGTGTTTGATCCATTGGCGCGTGTATTTGTACGTACATGTGTAATTACGGTTGTACTGTATGTACACAACAACTTAAATAATGATTTATCAACAATTAATGTTGCGAGATTTAATTGGATCAAACTCTCATCATTCAAATAAGTTCCCCATTTATATTTAGATACATCATCATTATGTAAAACATTATAGAAATAGTTCTATACAAAAAATATTTTTCGCGTAATTATTGTGTGGAGATTAAAAAAAATGTATTTAGAGAATGAAAAAATAGAAAGGAACTTTACAATTTCAAAAAAATAAATAAATAAAGGTGGTGGATATAATTTACCCACTTAATAATCAAACTAATAAGCCCTAGATCAAAATGTTCACAAGGATATAGCCACCATAGTTTGCTTATCATCAACCTTACTAAGTAATTTCTTCGACCCAACCCCGTCCGATCCCATTTAATAATCGTGGCGACATTGAACATGATTCCCATCCCGACTATTATTTTTTATTTTTATTCTATTTTATTTTTATTTTTTTACAAATTTAAATTGTATTTAAAAAAAATTATGAAAATTTAAATAAATAAGTAAATAAGAATTTTCTTAATCCGTGTTACGTCTTTGCCCTCGACTCCCAAAAAAAATGTCCAACGAGGTGAGGACATGCCACCGTGCACCGACTTCTTGTCATCCCTAAATCTTCCATATATCAGTACGTATAGTTACTAATGACAATTTTTATCCAAATATTATGTGTTGAAATGACATAATCATCCTTAAATAAATAAAAATTGATACAAGGAAAGAAAAACAAAACAATACCTTTAGTATCTAAACTATCGAGATGTGCTAATTAATGGAAGATTGAAGACAAGATACAATGAAAAAAAAAAAAGGGTAAACAACACAAGTGTTGCAATGAGTAAGATTCAAGCCTTTAGTGCAACTTAGCCATAAAAATGTTTTCAATTGTGGTTGCTTAAAACAAATCGAGGCCACAAAACGACCCATGTTCGTAATTAGAGTTGGGATGTAAAATGATTGTTTATGGTTAGTTTTCGTTTTCCATGTATACATTTAAACATATGATCGGATTAAAGATTCAAGACTTCCAAGCAAAATACAAAAGAACATATATTCATTAATAGATAATTTTGTACAATCAACAAGAAGCATGTACATATTACATATAAATTACATCAAATCCAGATGTTAATCCAAACCAGAAAAAGGAAAGATGTAACAAATTGAACGCAGCATCAAATCAAGCAAGGTCTTCATTTATCAACTCTTAACTTGGAAGATTTACTAAGTTGACCGCAAGGATCTAGAACCAGGGGCGGTCAAGCTTCCATTATCGGACATATAGAAGTAGTTGTAGTTGATTCGAGTTACTAGAGCTGCCAAATGAGGAAATTGCCCCACGTTGAGTTTGACAGATAGAATCTGCAAAAACAAATATAAGATAACTTAGTGCAAAAGTGTGAGTGAACTCACATCACAAAAAAAAAAAAGTTAAATGCTAAAATATTTATTAAACACTGTCCATAACCAAGATGCCACGCACTAAACCAACATCTCCACCACCATCAACGCCACTAATAAATCTCCAACTATCCACGAAATAAAACAAACCAGACATTTTGAAGGATTCATTTTCATTGTTCTAAATTCTGTGCCTCTGATAATGAACTGTAGTTGATCAAGTTTTGTGCCTTTGATTTAAAATAAAAGATAAGGAGAGATGCTTGGAGGTTCGAGTAGGTCGACACCTGGTTTGCAAGGGAGGTAATGCAAGGTATAGATGCAAGAAATAGAATGAGAACTAGGCTTTGCGTATATACATGGACAATCTCTCCATAACACACACAATGATGAATAAAAACATAATAAGGCCCTGTTTGGGAGGGATTAGATTTTTCTACAGTAAATCAATTCTCATTTTCAACCACACATTCTTCAATAAAATAATATTTTACATGACATCAATAATTTTTTCTTCATTTTCAATCACACATTTCCCATCATATCACTATTCAAAATCAATTATTCCCCCAAAAATCTCTCCCAAACAAGCTCTAAGCCTGTACAGGAAATAGATAAAAGAATGTCCATGGTTTCACCTCCGAAACTAGGATTGTAGACGAGTTGGTGGAGATAGAATCTAAACTCAGGGAGGAAAGCAAAGATTTTTGGTCGGAGATTGAAGACAAAGATAAGATTGTGAAATTGATTAGTCAACGAACTTGTCAAAACATAGGTTGAAACTGGATTACGTAAATATCATCTTTATAAATAGACTATAATGCGCTAAACACTTGAATATTCTTGTTTGCAGAGCGTGGGTGACACTTTTCAATAGAACTTAACATGACAGGGACAGTGGGGCGATGTGGGTGTTTCCCCCATTCTCTATTTAACTCAAAATCTGCTTATGCATGTAAAAGCAAACTTTACATGAGTTATCAGAAGTTAACAAAAATTTACCCTGAGAAGGAATGCCATGCAGTCGTCAAACTGTTTCTCTATCCGGTCCACTTCCTTTTCACATTTTAATTTGATGGCAGAAATTGCTCCACCGCTGCTTAGATTCTGCTGTACGGAGTAGAAGTCCAGAGCTAGTCCAAGGATACTGTTTATGCGACTGGCAATCAAGCCCCACTGCATAAAAAAGGCAGTTGATGCTCACTATTGTTCACAAGGTTAAATCAAGGAACGTATGGCTTAGCAATAACAAAAATTATAGAAGTGAAGGATGAGGTGGAGACCAGCTTGTCTGGAACCACAAAACACTGCCTCTGAATTGACAACAAATAGGACTCGTGTACTTCAATGGCTTCATCCAAAGTTCCAGCCACAGCCATATGTTCACAGAGTTCACGCCATGCATTATGATATACCTATTCATAATATCCTGGTTATAAAGTGTAACCAGCAGAAATATTTATCAACAGAAAATTGTATAGTAGTTTTTTAGTTTAATCATCTAAATCATTCATTAAAAATATGCAAGTTCAATCATTAGCGAATGCAGAAAAATAATCTAAAACACCGAGGACTTGCAGATATGCCCTGCCAATACAGGTCTGTGTGCCTTCAAATACTATGAGCCCTTAGTAATTCTAACCAAATGACCCTAGAAGAACACTTGCAAGTTTCAAATTAGTATGGAAATCTCTACAGAAACATCTGTGGTTGGAAATTTTTCATAATTTTAAAAAAATGCACCAAACATTCTTTAAACCATACCAGAAGAAGCTACTGTGGCTCAAATCAGTCAAAAACATGCAAAGATAAAAAAGAAATCGTAAGTAACGGTCATTAGACGCCACTTGATTTCCTCTTATCCAATAGGAAACAATAGTATAAAAGTAAGATAACATGAAAGTATACACCAATATTACTCGTCTAAATTTAGTCTTTGCAGGTTGCTTTGTTTTCATGATAATTTCAGATGGCAATTATACAACCTTTTATTCAGGTTGAGGAGAAAAATGGAAAAGACTAAGCATACATGTTTAAACTCTCAGTCTCTCACTTCAATAAATCGTGGCAAGCCAAACTATGACATTCAAATCAGAACAAACACTGGAGAAGAACAATATAATTAACCACAGATGAAATCTAAGATTCAGCTTTAAAGGACAGGATGATACTCAAACCATGTGGGTTAAACAGGCATTTCGCAGTCCAGGTACAATAAAGCATAAATAGCAACTCATACCGAATAATCACGCATTTAAAATGTTGGAAAACTCATTACTCTGTCCATAACATATTGATGAAAAGCATCCACAAAATGAAGGAGTTTTTGCTCCAGCAACCAGTGGCGCTTGCTGTTAGTTGTTGCAGTGCCTCTATCCTGAAAAGTCAAAAGGGGCAATATAAAAGACCTCAGCATATTGTTTGATTGGGATAAAACCTGCAATTGGCACTAAAAATGGAATTACCTTCCACATCCACTTCCGAGCTTTATCAAGCACAAATTTAGCTCGATTAACCTTCAACAAGAAGATCATAACCTGCATATATACCGATAGAATTACCAAGAATAATTAACTAATAGCAACTTGAATGCAAAGAAGTAAAAGAGCTACCTGATTATATTTCTTCATTGCTTCCAGGTTAGCAATAAGTTCAAGTGGCCAAGCAATCTATTGGATTGCCATAAAATTTGAATAAGAAAATCTACCAAGATGTTTGACACAACTTAAATTATAACTTCACAAACAAAATTGAGAACTAAGAGGGAATAAACAACCTTGTATGAGAACTTGAGAGAATCAAGAACATCTATTCCAAAGCTCTGACTACGACCTTTACGGGGAGTTGAGACTGAAGTGGACATATAATGCTGATCGTCTTCACTGGAACCAGGATTTTTTGTTACAGACACAACCAATGAATCTGGGGTACTTAGTAGTACTTTATCAGCAGAGTTCCTTATTGACTCCTGAAGTAAACTAAATAGTGTTAATGTTTTGGCAGCATTCAATGTCGGTGATATCCAGAACAGTGTCAAAAAATGTTTTACAACATAGAAATTATTAAAATGGCTTTCCATGCTTAGTTTAACAATTGACAAAATGGTGTGCTGCAGGGTCTGATACTCATTGATCCATTAAGCTTCTTAAGAAAAATTAAATAATTCATATATCCAGCAAGTTATCAAAAGGACATTGACAGTTTTTGGACTCCTCATTTCACCAAAGTAAACCATAAAATCTGAGCAATGATGTGGTTCCCAAGATTATGAAATTGATCTCATTGGTTAATCTAGGGATGGCAGCGGGATGCGGCGGGCCAACTCCTGCCCCATTTATAAACTTTTTGTTTATAATTCTTTCTCGTAAATTCTACGAGTAGGTGGGTAATCTGGAAATTGGGCTAATGGTATTGGGTAATCAGTTCCAGTTTGGCATAAAAAAGTTGGGCACTTGGGCTAGGTTGTTTCAAACAAATTTTTTATTTTTTCTTTTTGGTAGTAATTTTTGGCCCGGGAAGATTTTCACCCCTAGCATAATCCAGATTATCAACTTGTTGCTACATACTAATACCGAAACAATTTTCCAAAAACTGCACTATGTCAAAAAAAGTGACCGATGCAAATGGAAATTATCTTTGCAAAAGTGATTGTCCTACTTATATCATTCCTAATACGTATGTCATAATATCCCTGACATTAAAAACTCATGATTCACAAAAATAAGATCTTCAGGATTGTTTTCAAGTTTCCAAAGTGTAGAAGAACGACGCTAAGATACTGGCCAAGATTTGAACAACAATGTTGAGCCTTTCTTTCCTGATATTCCGATACTTCTATAATTTTGAATTTGTTTTCCCTTTCCAATTATCCCAAGTAAAGTTGTAAACCCAGGTTCTGCCATCAAAAGGTGGGTCATGTTGGGCATAGGTATCCAGGATCAAGACGACAGTATACCGCTTTCAACTTTCCTTAGCTATTTATTAGGAAAATTATAAAAAGTAAAAAGAAATAAGACTAGGCCTAGCCAGCCAAAAATTGCAGCTTCACCCATAGGCAGCCCAAAAGTGGGTTGGTCCATTTGACACCTCAAGTTACAAAAATGGACTATTTTACACATACAAAAGGTTTGTCATGATAAGAACTGCAAAGCTACAAAACCTAGTAATTCAATGTTTAATTGCTGATTTGCACCTGCAAGATTGTGTTCAACTCAAAATCATCATCCAAGGGTTCTCCTTTGTCTAATTTAGCAAAAATCACTGTCAAGAAATGCTGCAAAAGATCACCTGTTCATAGCAAGAAGGTTGTCCTATCAGACAAGCTTGATATGTAAAATCAAAACCTCATTTATTGTAATTTGGACTTAGTGGAGCATTAAGTAGCACTATATGGAACCCATTTTCATTTAATACAAACAAAACCCTAAACCACTGGTATAGAGAGAGAGAAGGAGAAAAGAAGAAAATGGAAAGAAAGAAGAAGAAGGAAAAGAAAAGGAAGGAAAAACCTAGCGTCGTCGCCTTTCTCCACCTTCTCGGCGACGATGCTAGGTTTATAGAGAGCAAAAGTGGGAAAGAAGAAAGAAGAAAAAGCAAAAACGGCGAAGTGTCTAGTTGAAACTTGGAGGATCTGACACATATCCCATATCCATGTCATGTCGTGTCCGACACGGGTACTCCAACTATTTCGATGAGTCCGAGCACCAGAGGGTTAGATGATACCTGATCCTAATAAATAAATGGCACGCAACACGCCGAGCTCATCTAACAATCTCCAGTCATGCAGTAATTTTGACAACATATTCTTGCCAATATGATCAGTCTGCACAAGTAAAACGCGAGAATCTGTAGCGTGTTATTTCATCAAAGGCATGTACAGAAAAATCAATGTGAACTGTTATTCATCCCCTACCTGCTTTTTGATATAGCTGGTAAGGCACTCCTGAAGAATTACAGCAGGAAGTGGTGTACTTTTTGGTTCAGTACTCTGGATCCAGCTGAGGATTCTTGATGGAAGGGTGCTATTATTCTGGAACGGTAATACCTCTGACATGCACATGTCTTCCTGTTATAGCATCGCAAGGATGTTTTGAGCTCTAAGAAATGCTATACAAGCTACAATCATATATCAGTTAAGTGAATTCCCTAATGTAGTACCCGGAATAATGGAAGAAGTGTTGGACAGGGAAGCAACACTTTGAGCATTTCTCCATCTTCCACCTGACGTTCAAATTCACCAAACTGAAAGCCAGAAGTGTAATCTGTATTCTTATGTGCCAAACCGGTTCCGCAATTTTCACCAAAGATAGCTTGCCTCAGACCCTCATCATTTAAAGGAGGAAGATGATAGTTTTGAGATATGTTCAATGCACTCCAAGCATCCCTATTCTCATGAAGAAGCTTTAGACATACAGTAATAACTGGATTTTCAGGACAAAATGTGTTAAACTGGGGCAGTTCATCTATTTCATTTGAAGTTAGTTTCTTTCCCTTCACACTAAAGGAATTTAATGGATCTCTTTGTGCATATCCTGAACTCAAATCTCTTTTCTGGGCCAATATATCAGTCAATAACTTATGCCAGGCTTTATTCGAGCTTGTTTTAGCAGTCAAAGTCCCATTACTCTCTTCTAGCCTTTGTATTTCCTTAACGGAGCCAAATGAAGAAACAAGTTTGTTATCTTGCCAAAGGTACTCAGAGATGTGGTCGCCATGGAAAATAAGAGCTACTAATGACACACAGAAGATCTCCGACAAAGTTAAACCACCTATACTAGTTTCATTCTCAAGGTTGGTGGCAGGAGCTGTTAACAGAGAAGTCATAGGAGCATGACGGATCAGCTGCAGTGATTTTCCAGCAGATATAATTGCCTTTGCTGTATCTTTCATGAAGAATGGACAAAGTTGAAAAGTATTTTTATTTGACTCTTTTTCTTTGGCAACACCAGATAGAGAAATGGATTCTCTACCACTTAAATTCCTTTTCTCTTTTGTTGAAGATAGAAGATCAGAGGCAAAATCCAGAACACGTAATTTTTGAGACTTTGCTGATCTTGGCAGATAGCTCTTCTCCCAAAACTCAGCCTTGTCAATTGCAATTTCATTGTTAGCATAAAAGAACATCTGCAGGAAGGCACAATGAGTTACTAAAGACAATTGCTGTCTTATGAAATACACAAAAATAAACAGTCCGCAAAAAATTGATCCCTAAATAGCTACGTATCTTTAAAATATTGGGTAACACAGGATCTGTTATCCATAAAGTTAATTGATGAGAGAGCAATGCCAATTGAAGGTATGTTTAGTGAATGTGCCTACAACGCTACTTGTGAAACACACAATCATGCACAATAACAAAAAGGAAGAAAATATAGAAAAACCAGATAATGCAGCATGTGTAACAAAGGATATGTGCAAAAAATTAGGACAAGAAGCTCTCATAATTTCACTGCTTTGAGTGAAAAGATAGATAGATAGGGAGAAAAGAAGAAATCAAAAAAGAGACATGTAGAAATTCTATAAACATCCCTATTTCCTCAATCTACATGAAAACTTCACTTGAAAATGGAAACATTGAATTGGTGTTTAAAGAAAAAAAGTTAATTCGGAATTTAAACAACTAAAATTCATTCTAGATAAAATTTTCAATTATGTCATATGCACAATAGCTTATCAATATGAACTATGAACTTTACTAGTTCACACCAATTAATGCTCATAAAGTTCATTTAGCAAGCTTTGAAGAGCGAGAGGTTAATTTCATCCAAGAATCTATAATAGTAATCCAAAAAATATTTATCACGTAACATTCCAACTATCAGTTAGGATTTTTCAAGCATGATTGTATCATCATATCCAGAACCCCGACTGCCATAGTTTCTACTAAAAGAACCCATACGAATAAAAATCGAAATGCTTTGGGAAGTACACAATGACTGAGACAAACAATAATATTAGCATAACCATTTGGCATCACTTGTTGATTCAAAAAGGGATGCAAAGGCAAATTAATACAAATAGAGACATCTTCAAATTTGAGGCACATCACAAACTTTGCAGTTCTGAAAGACAAACTGAATAATCACAATTCCAGATTAATGTTCTAGCAAATCAGAAGGACCAGAAAGAAAAATACAAATTACAAGGTAAGGGACAAATGTGGAGTCGGAATGGGAATTATCACAGCTCTTGGGCACTCAAGATGCAGCTTCCTACAACTATACAAAATGGGATTTTTAATTGAAGAGTTGTGTTTGAAGACTTATTGATGGTAATGTTGCAAAATGCAACTTAAAAGACCTAACTTTAAGAATAAAACTGCCAAGTAGAAAAGGAAAGCATGATTTACCCTCGCATAACTAGAACAAATTGAGAGAAATACGCACATTTTCATAATTCCATCCCATCAACGAAATATACATGTATTAGTAAGTTATAATTTTCTGAATTTTTAACACAGATAGTTAGAAACATACAATTTCTATACAAAATATATTTCTCTAAATTCTTGCATCCTAAATTATATGGAAGCTTTTAGAAAAACCAGGGGTCATGTACTGAAGGTTAGGCACAAATAAGTACTAAATTGAACCTAAATATTACATTTTCTAAATGAGGACTTCATATAAAATACCCATGCTATGCATAAGAGATTGCACATAACTCTCTACGTAATAAAAAATAAATACCTCCTCAAAAGGATCATCAAGAGTTCCTTCAAAAAGCCATGAATCAAGACCCTCAATGTAAGGCAAAAGACTACCCACAAGTATATAAAGTAGCATCCTATATTCATCCTCCTGAAAACAACGTATAGTTCTGATCTAAACCTTTTGATCAAATAAAAATAAATTAAGCACAACATCTCAAGCAACTGTAGATTTCAACCTCACCCCCTTGCAGGAGACAAACTTCATTAAGCTTCGCATAGAGATGGTTAATAATGTGAACAGAAACTTCCGCAGCCGAGATAGAGTGATCGAGTTCAAAATAAAATTGTGGAATGGCTTCATGCACTATTTGAAACAAATATTCAGCTCCTGAGCAAAGACTGGTAGAGAGAGCATCCACTTAGAAATTACAGATTTCTTAAACAAATTGTTGAGATAATCCTACCAAATGCAGAACATTCAAACATGTACAAGACAAAGTATGAAAAAATGAGCAACAAGAACAAAACATATTTATTTCCTCAGTAGACAGATTAACTACAAACTTGACCTTCTGTTGTTGGCCTAGGAGCTGATTGACTCAAAACACTGTCGAGCTGAATACTATCTATACTAGTATAATTTAAAAGAATGATAAGTAAGGGAAAATGAGTTATTCAACATTGTCCAACAGGTTATCTAAAATCACAAAGTCAAAACCATAATTAGAAATTTTTTAGAAAGAGATAAAATTAGCATCGTTGTCATTTCGGGCTCTTAACATCAAAGTTTTTTTCTCACGACTTACACAATTTAGATGCAATTATTTAAGCACCAAACACCAAATAAAATTGCTTCAAATAATACAACCTTGACAAAGAACTTGACAGCCCCAATAGGGTCGGAGTAGTTTTGCCATCAGAACTATTTATCTTCATCTCTTCATTCAAAGAAATATCTCGAATCCTCTGCTCCAAAATAAGATTAAGAAAAACAAAGTCCCTATAAGCATTTAAAAAATGAGAATAGGAATCCAAAACGAAGGAAAAGGGTTGATCAAACAAAAATTTCATAATAAAAGACACCTACTCTGAGCCATGCAGAAACGGAACAAGCAAATGCTCTCAAAGTAGGCGGAGGCAAGCGCTTGGATTTCTCAATTTTGTTCACAACAATCTCTACCAATTTTAAACTGGTTGCAGCATATATAAACTTATCAAGAACGCCATACAAACTTGTTTGGGAAAGATGAATCACGTATATCCCACTCTTAACACGAAAACAATGTCCATTATCGTCCCAAAAAAACAGGGAACTCGACAGACCTTGCATCATTTGCAACACTCCTCGCACCTTAAACAACAAAAAAGAAATAAATAACATAAATCCCAACAATTAGAAGAAGAAAAATAATAATCAGCAAAAAAAAATACAATAATCTAAAAATGACAAAAAATTATGTACCAGGTCAATTTCGCTTGTCCTTAAAGAGGAAATTGGAGACGCAAAATGTATGCCGCCATCACTAAAGGAGTTAGTGATTCTACTGATCACTCTTTCCGAGACTTCCATCTTTACCCGCGACATCAACAGTTGAAGAAAATCGCGGCAAAATTTACTCACATTAGCAATTTATCAAACACTTCTTGGGCAGTATTTATAAACCAACATAGGTAATGCGCAAGCATAATAGCATCAAACTTGGAAGTCGATCTAGTACAGTAGAAGCTTTCTTTCAGATTTGGGGTGCAGGTGCAGAATAATCGATTACAGAAAACAAGAAAGCAATGCACTTTAGAATTCAAATAACAAACGAGGGATTAAAGAAGATAGAAATTTGGAATTGGAATTGGTACCCTATTTTCTCGGGAAGTACGATTTTAATTCTAACGAGTGTTTGAGAGAAGTATTTAAGCCCCGTTTGGTGGGTCTTTTTTTGTAAAAGCATTTTGAAATGTGCAGGTACAAAAAAAAAAAAATTGAAAGGATAAAAGACAAACATGGATTAAAAATTTATTTAGTGAGTATTTATAAATGATTTAAATTATCAATAGATAAAAATAAGTGATAAATAAATTAGTATTAATTTTTATTGTTCGAAAAGTACGGATAAAAAATGAATTGATATACATACATGTAGATATAAAGGTAGATTGATTAATAATTATTTTTCTTTCTTTATGTATTTTTATTTTAAAATCTCGATCACATACTGATTCTAAACAAATAAAGGACTGAAGGTTTTAGATCATAATCGATGGTAGAAATTAAATAAAAATATATATTGTTTTTCTATGTAAATGAAAATTTTGACTGATTTTTATATTCTTGATCAACCTAATGATAGAAATCTCAATGATCAATGTACTTTCATCGTTATTTTCAAGTACTTCCGAAATACAGATACCCGATACCCCATATGCAACGTTTACAGTAATGTATATTGAATTATTTTCATTAATTTTATGTTGTTTGCAAAAGATTTATAACTAAATTTTTGAAATCACTGTGAAGAATGTTGACCCCATCGCTGACACCACCTGCCACTGGCAGCACCTGCCACAAACACCACCACTATCAAACCTGGTACAACTATCACATCATTGCCACCATTAATGGTGTTAGTCAATTTCCCACACTAACCAAAGGTAATCGAACTACATCTTTTACTAGATTCCATCGAGGCGGAGTCTAATGGAGACATTGGTCAACCACCACCTTGAAATTTTTTGAATACGAAAGTATGGGTACATGTTAATTGTTCTCCGGTATTAGATAATAAATGAACAATAGGATCATATTATGTATCGATAAAAATCAATTTATAATTGTAGCAATTGCAAATTATGTATTTATCTCGACTCCTTGAGAAATCATACCCACCACATTGTAGCATTTTAACTCATGCTTGATTCTTATGGTCCGTTTGATTGCAAATGTGAAAAATTGGTGGCAAGAAAATGAATTTTAGGGAATTGAATTGTTTAGAAATTGTTTTACTGTGAATTATAATTAATTGTGTTTGATTGGTATAATTTTTCACCTGAAAAATGTGAGAAAGTTTGGTATTCGTTTGGCTTTATTTTTCATGAAAATTGTCCATTAAATTGATAATTTCTTTTACCAATGGGTCAAAAAAAACTGGAAAATGAAAACCCACCTAAAAGGTGGGAAAACAATTTCAACAAAAATGTGGAAAATGTGCAAGTGTGAGAAGAGGTGAGAAAAAATTGAACCTATCAAATACTACAAAAGTTGGAAAATGGAAAATGTTGCCCATCAAACAGGGCTTCATATTTGTTTTCTACATCTCTGAATCGTACAAGGATATCAAAAAGCAGGCAGCTTAATAAGTTGAAGAATAGAATAAAGCTTACTTCTAATATCAAACAAAAATTCGGGTAGTACCTTATTTCTTTAATTCACGTCCCTTTGTGTTGTTTAATTAGATATTGAAAATAATGTCTACTCTAAGTTTGTTGTTGGAAAAAACATTGAGTTTTGAGTTTTATTATTCGTGTGTAATTGTGTGCTTACTACTTCATTTTATATGAGAAAAATTGAAGAAAAAATTTCTCTTTTAAAAAAAAAAGTATTCTCTTTAGTGTGTTTACTTATGTGAGTTAGATAGTCTTGTCGGTAATGATTAATATATTTTGAATTATGTATCTACTAATAAACTGTGAATATGTTGCATGCTTATTTTAAATAATTATTATCTATGTAAAATATGATACTATTTACACACATGAATTAAGTTTAGCATTGTAGAGGAATTGGTTGATTTATATGCTTGATATGTTAAAATAGTAGAACTTAGATGCTATATCAAATATCGATATATTATGCATTCTTAAACTTAATTTAGCATAGTATAGGGATGATTGAACTATTGTAGCAAAATATTGATATAGATGGGGATTTCATGTGTGTAAATTCTTGTGTAGATTGTCTAAAATCAATGAGATGAAAATTGTGTGAAAATCTTAAGTTCGATTTTTCAAAATGGGTGTTTAACGAGAGTCATTGCACTAATCATTGAATAAAAGGGAAAAAGTTGTCATATTGTGAAACTACCCTAAAAGATTCCAATGAGGACAATTATTGAAAATCCCAGAAGGAAGACTTGAGAGGGATTTAACTTGTGCATAAAACGGAATTACACAGCAATTTTTTTTTTTTAAACGTGTATGAAATAGAAAATGCACAATGTGCTTTTATTAAAATCAAACACTTATTTGAGAACATTAGAATTTTGTTAAGAGGTTATTAGTCTAGTTAAGTCTTGAAGGTTGAAGCAATAAAAAAATTGGAGAATTCTCATTTGTTGAAGTATTAACTTACAATTAGTAAGATCCATCTAAACTAGAGAAGGTGGGGATAAGGATAAAAAGCCAAATTAGATCACACCTTAAGAAAATAGTCAAAAAAATAAGTTTGAGTGTGTGTATATCTTACGAGTGAAGAAATGACAAATTTGATCATTGAGGGTCAAGAATTGAAACAATTTGTAAATTCATAATGTTTTGTTTAATTCTTTACACACAAGCACCAGTTTTTTGATTGGAGAAGTTGATATTGATTTTAGTATTATAACCTTGAAGTTATTTATAGATTTAATACAATGATTCTAATCTTGAGACAAAATGATAGGTTATCTAACCAAAATGTTGTTACATGTTTGTTAGTTGAGATATGTTATAATTTTGCTTGAACACAAACGAATGCTTAAGTTTAAGGTGTTTGATAAGTGTAATTTAAACACTTATTTGGACATTTAAATATGACATTTATTACTTTTTATGATTAATTATGGCCTAATCTTTTGTATATTTCATTTTATAGGTGAAACTCGATGATTGGAAATGAAAATGGAAGGAAAGAACGAAAAAGGGTGAAAATGGTGAAATTCAAAGTTCGGGGACCAAAATATAACTTTTCAATAGTTGATTTGGACCACAAAACAATGATCGGAGATTATACAGGTTCATGATGGTGGCGCGCTCGGGGCACACTAGTCGGCACATGACTGAGATGCCGTGTGAGTGAAAAGTGAATTATAGGGACTTGTGTTGCAGTTTCCATTTTACATCAAAATTCTTCTTAAATTGAAATTGAAATACAATTTTAACCTATTTTCGAGCCTTATAAATTCCAAACATAATCATACATTGGAGGACACCTCTCATACTTCATTATGCATTATATTACATCAATTATTATAAGAAAATAGAGGTCAATTCATTGTTCTTTGAGAAAGATTAAGAGGAATTACAAGAATTCAATCCATTGATAATTCAACTTTGGTTTTTGGGGGAAAAAAAGATGTGATGGAAGATTCATCAAAAAATCATTGAAGAGATGCAGAATTTCAAGACTCGTCTTCATCTTCATCTTCTTAATTTATCTATAATCAGTGTTATGTTTTTCCAATTAAACATGTTTTCTTGTAATTTTGCAATGCTAGACTAGAATTCCTACTACTAAGGCATGGATTGTTATGGTGTTTTAATAAAGTTCAATATTTTGATGTCTAATATGTTTTTGTCTTGGATGATTGTTATGAAACTTAATGTTTTTCAATTAATTAGTTATTAATTGAATTGTTAATTTGAATTTTATTGTTATCGAGCGAGACAATATGATAGAAAGCACGTTATATATAACAATCATTGTAAAGTTTGATAAGGGATAGAGATATACCACCATTTTTGTATGATTTTTATAAATGTTTTAGCGTTTTTAATGCATACTTTCACATTCACATCTTTCATAGAGATATAAGAATGTCAAATTAGAGGATAAATTTTACAATTATTGGGAGAGACTATTAATTAACTTAAAAACTTTGATTAATAAGAATGTACATATTATCATGTTATTGAATTGCATTGAAATGGCTTAATAAGGGAGATTTGATGTCTTAAAAATCATTTCACATAGTTTTACAAAAAGCCTTCATAATTTGATCATTAAAATAGCTAGTTTAAATGGTTAATTTAGATAAATTCGATAAAAATAAGTTTTGGTATTCGACTAGAGTTGATTTTGGTAGTTTCTCGGGTTGAGGAGGATCAGGAGCCATTACAAGGACAATCATGCTTGGTGTACATCAAGTTTTAAACTTCATCACGTGTCAAATTACCTTTTGACAGTTGAAAAAAAAAAAAACAATTTTTTCACCAATCAAATATTGCCAACAAAGACGATGTCAAATGTAGAAATGTGATGTACAAGTGACATTATCCTTACAAAGAGTATGGTATCCCTCCGGTTAACAGATCGTGCTTGGTATAAATCAAAATTACAATTAAAACCAACCTTCTTATTACTCCACAAATAATACGCATTTTCACCTTTGTTTAGAGCTCATGAAACCCTTTTATACCTTCAATTACTTCATCCAGGGTGCTTATCGGAATCTCATGATTGATAATCTGGAAAAATCCCCAACTTTTACAAGCATCCTTAACTTTATTAACAATTTCTTTGCGGCGTCATTCTTTATGCCTTCAGAATCAATTACTGGAAGATTGTACCGAGGAATATTTCCAGAGACCGGTTTCTCTTCA